TGTGCTATAATGATGCCTTTTGCAAAAACTCTATAAGGGTTTAAATATAGAAAAAAAAGGCCCATAAATAAAAGTGCATCCCATATTTTAATTAATTGGGATATTTAGGGTTAAGTGTCCTTGGATTTGAGTAGCATTAGGCTAGGTGACCTCATGGGAAGTTTGAATCAAAGAATTTACATTTGGTATTAGAGGGGTCTTGAGTTTGACTCTATTAGTTAGTTAAATTGAGAGGAGCAAATGCCACTAGCGAAATTGCTAAAAACATTATTGATCTCAAGCCTTTAAATGGAGCTGTATATATCTTGCTCTCAAACATGGGGAACTACACTATATATTGAGATTAATATTTGGCAAGTCCAATTTGCCTCTAGATGGGCTTGACCTAAGGGGTAAGTTGTCAACTCGACCATAATATCCCCTATTACCAAAGAAGCCTCATGTCCCAGCAAAAATGGACTCTTACATGTGGGCACTAGTGTGAAAAACACTATTCCATGAATTAGGACAAGTCAAAAAAGTGTTGCGTGATGGATATAGACACTCCATCATCATGGATGCATAAAGAAAACCACATTATATTGGGGAACTAATGGGGGATCTCACAAATAAAAGTGTTTCAAGTGTGGAGTATCATCCCACTAGAGAAATTCTTCAAGTGCTTATGATTCAATAATAGCGTGAGCAAGCAACATTGATCTTGGTTTAAGAAAATAATTGAAGGTACATATTCTTTATATGTTCTTCTCTCAGACTTTTAACATGAGTTCTTGCAAAGATGGATAGCAAGTGGATAGCAAAAGTCTATAATTTCATTTTAGACTCACCCAAATTTTGTTCAAGTGAGTTAATATGGGTTTGGTGCAATTCACAAAGCCCCCTAAGATAGCCCTTTAGTGGACGGTAGTTGACACTAGCCCCCATCCTTTCAAAGAGTCCTTGCAACCCATTTTCTTATAAGCTTATGTGATTGTTGTAGAATGTTTTTAGATAATTAATACAATTGTCATCTTGTAATCACTCAAGTCTCAAAACATATGAAAACAGGAATATAGAATAAAACAATTATATAGTTAACAACAAATGGTAAACCAAATATTCTAAAGATCCAGCAAAATGCCCTTAGAATTGTTGTTCCACTTCACAAGAGAACATATTAGATCCAATTTATGTGTCTAGAGCTATGGAATATCCTTCATGGGCATCACTTTAGAGAACCATAAATTGATTAGTCCCCCATAACCATTTTCTTTATTAAACAATTGTTTGGCAAATAATGGTTTTTATTTGCCTCGCTAGGAGGTATGGTAATGCATCCATTTTCTTATATCACATTGGGAGTATAAGCAAAGGAGTGGGGATAAGAATAATGCACTATAAAAAGAGTTCTATAAAGTCAATAAGTCATGGGCATTCTTGGAAGAGCTCTAAAAACACTTTAAAACCCACCCTCAATTATGCCATACCAAGTGGGACACTAGAAATTTATAAATCATAGAACTTACATGAACTTCAACTAAAAAAATTCACTACTTTACAAAGTTATCTTCCGGCTTCTCTTTCTTTTATTCTATGACATTAATGCTCAATAAAGTCTAGATTCAAAAGCTTGAGGTATCTTTCCTTCTTGTTTCAAATGCCAAGACAAATCTTTTTATCCCCATTAGTCATTTTGAGATTGAGAAGGTTTGAAAGAACTTTGAACATCCTTTTGTTTCATTTTGAAGATAACTAAACTATTAGAGCGCAAGAGAAATGAACCTTATACCAAGATTTGAATCTTGCCCATATATTGAATTTGGATTCTATTTTCTCGATGTTTCCTTGAAACTAGAGATCCACTTGGGCTAAAGTGCAACTTCCATCACAGTGCAATAAATAGAGTAAAAAGTTTTCATAACACTCAGGATTTTCAAAAAACTCATCTAAAGAATCGTACATGGGATCATTTACAGTGATATCTAGAATGGCATGGATGAATAGGATCATGATCCATAATGTGACCCATGCATGGCCCATTGGTGCATAGGATGGGTACATAAATATGAATGATATGGATATTAGATACCAAATATACCAAATATATGTGAGAACGAATAAGAGGTGTGGGCATATTTTACAAAATGTCCAATAGGTATAAACCACGTGGCATAAGCATAGTAGGTGTCACGCTCCATCCAATCCGGAATAAAATACAATGGCCAAAACTTTAGCTCCTTGGTGCTCGAGACGTCACGTACGCGAGGATTTGCTCGTGTGACAGATCTCCCTTTTCAAGTAGGCCATTGATTAAAGTGTTTTGATACGCCACCGAAGGAGCCCGGGTGGGAAGCTCCCCACACTCGAAACGTTTTGCATCTCTTTGCGAGCACCTGGAGGAATGTAAAACATGCATTGCATACCACTGTGTAAAACAGAAGCACTTACGTGATTGTGAGAATCGGCGCTCCATTTTTGTCGCCAAGATATAACACGCTGCCATACCACGCGTTCTACAACAAAAAACCAATAAAAACCATGCACAGTAACAAGAATCTACCTCAATGAAGTCCACAATATGAGGTGAACTTTTCAGCGTCTCAAAGTGGGATGGAGAAACCAAGCCGCTAGCTGCCATTGAGTCGAGCCTGTTCTCTTGAGCGAGTATACCATTGAACTGTTCTAACCTGCACAAACAAAGGAACGAACATCAGCCCAAAATGGATCGGGTAGTTTGCCGGACGTTATTTTGTATGCTCGGAGATGGCAATTGTCGCCATCAGATGGCACTGGATTCAGGAACGCAACGCCTCCATTGCCCCACGAAAGAGATCTCTCTCGTCCAAAAAATAGTCGATGTGGAGCTGACAGCCAAAAGTCTTCCAGCGGCGGAGTTTTTTCAAGTAGACCTTGTCCTGGCACTTCAATACCTTCGACCTGCGAAGACAATGAGGAACCCGAAATCCAGAAGTAAGAAACACTATACCTTGCCACCTTGGATGTAGCACATCAACCGAGCTGGCCACATATTAGAGCCATAAGTTGCGTACCATATGTATGGACTCGGGCTGTGAGGACTAGAGACCTCAGAACTCACCGATATCTGGACAATCTCCACAGTTTCTGAGCGAACAAAAACCTCACCATCGTGTGTTTCTTCGACTGCATCAGCCTCGGTAGTAAGCCTTTCGAAAGCCTTAACAAGTTCTCCATGGCCCGTAGTATTGCTGATTTCTGTAGTCACGACCACCTTTTCATCGAAGCTAAGCTTAGGTATCTCCAGCTCTTCCTCCACCTCTTCCTCTGATTCCTCTTCAAATTCATATTCCTAGAGGGATAAAGAAGCAATGGATTATGCAAGATTAAACAAAAGTTTGTACCTTGGGAGGAGAGGATCTGGAAGCCGGCATTTCGATCTTTTCACGCAGAACAGGCCAGTATTGACACAGCTCCTGTCGGACCTGCCAAATAGCAGCTACACTTTCTTCACTATCACTCACTTAAGCACATTGCCCTGTGAGTGAGTCCACAGATAAATAAAGAAATGCAGTATCGCGGAAGAGAGTCCTACCTTGTCAATGATAGTCCATGTAGACTCGTAAGCTCGCTCAATGTCGTGGCGCTCGCTTTGAATATCTCCAAGTAGAACTTGAACGCATGCCAAATACGATTCAGCAATCGACTCAAGGTTGTAGCCTCCTTCAAGCGCTAGAACAATTTTTCCTCCAGCCAGTTGCATAAGCTAAGTAGAAAAACAGAAGAAAAAGAAAGATTAGAAGACACGACGACCATGCTTAGGAGCTGCGTACTTCCTGTGTCATGATCGAGTAACCAAGTGGCGTAAGCTTACAGCCACCCAACGGATCTCCTCGAGCTGAAAACACAAAAAAGATTAGATAGTTCACCTTCTATTATAAACTCATTCAAATACGACCTGAATCGAAACCTCCCGATATAAGAACTATGTCAGGATTGAACTCCCTGGCCACTGGCATCAATACGTGCTCCCAAACAGCGACATAATCCGCGTCGCTGTATCCACCACGAGGCCACGGGACATTGATATTAAACCCCGCACCGGCACCTCCTCCAACTTTATCGAAATTCCCTTCCTGACCTCCAGGGTAGAAGTATCCATCGTCATATCTTTCGCATGAAAAACCGTTATAGAAACAAATAGAAACAAACGAGAGCTGAGTCCATACCTGTGGACAGAGAAGTATAAAACGTTGGGATCTTGCCAAAACATGTTTTGGGTTCCATTTCCATGGTGAACATCCCAATCAACGATCAAGACTTTGTGCGACCCCGCCACCTACATCGAACAAAGCGCGTAAAGAAAGTAGAAACTTATAAAAAAGAGCAAACGAACAAGAAAAAAGCAAAACAAGAGAAAAGAACACTCACTTTTCCCGATGAAAGAATTTGAGCTGCTACAGCAACGTTGTTAAATAGGCAGAATCCCATAGCTTCATCCGCTTCAGCGTGGTGCCCGGGTGGTCTCACTATAGCAGCGGCCGACGCGAGCTCTCCTCGAGCAACTTTGAGAGAGAGCTGTGGAATGTGAAGAAAGAAACTAGATTTCATTCCACACGAAAAAAGAAGAGGAAAGGTTACCTCCACGACGGATCCGGCAGCTAGAAGTGCCGATTCCGACGAGCCATCGTTGAAATATATCGAGTTGTAGCGCCTCGCGAGAGCTGCTCGTCCTTCTTTCCCATAAGCTCTGCTGCTCACGGACGACATCTTCTCGATGTGCCTGTCCGTGTGGACTGTCGCGAGCTCTTCCGCCGTCGCTGGCCTCGCATCCACTCGCACGCACCTGGCCAAGCATCCATCGCGCGGACGATCGAAATATTTCCACCGCGCAAAGAAAATGTTACCTGTCCAAGACGCCTGCATCCTCGAGGCGCTTCCAGATCGCTGTAATCCTCGCCGGCTGCTCCGGATGGAGCTTGTTGAAAGGATCGCGGTGCGCGCACATTCGCCGATCATACACCAGTCCCACTGCCATTGCTCTCTCAAGAACCCTAAGTTTTAGCTTATAATGTTACGTGTACACAAAAGCTATCCTACATGGCATAAACTATCTTCCACGTCACGCCTTTAATGCCAGATCCTTTCGCAAAATCTTCCCCGACGGCGTCTTTGGAATCGCATCGATGAAAGTCACTCTTCGTACTCTCTTGTGAGCAGCCACCTTTGTAAAAAATCCCCAGAAAATTCATGAGCGATCCAGGAAGAACACGAATCTAAAAGAATCTTACATTTCTAGCGACGAAAACTCTCACTTCGTCCTCCGTGAGCTCTCCATCAGCGCTAGGAACGACAAATGCCACGGGAATCTCCCCAGCCTCCTCGTCTTTGGACCTGATCAATCCATGTCAGGTAGAACGCAATGGACAAAAACTTAGCTCGAGGAACCAAAGCTTACGCTACCACAGCAGCATCCAAGACAAGAGGATGGGTCAATATCAATGCTTCTAGCTCAGCCGGGGCGACCTGGAAACACGAAAAAGAGAACTTTGATCCACAAGAACTTCAAGGCTTTCGCTGGGTGGTACCTGAAGGGTCTTGTACTTGATGAGCTCTTTGATCCTGTCCACCACGAACAAGTTCCCCGCGTCGTCGAAGTAAACAAGATCTCCAGTTCTCAGCCAACCATCGCTGGTTATGCTAAGCTTCGTTGCCTCCGGATTGCTAATGTAGCCTGTAAAGCACACCATGCTTTAGAAACCTGAAACAAAAAGTTCCTTGTACCGAGCATCGTTGTCGGAGAGCGTAAAAACAATTCTCCCTGGCAGTTTGGAGGCAGCGCGGCACCGCTACGAACGTCAAGAACTTTGGCTTCCACATTGGAGAGAAGAGTTCCAGCTGATGCTGTGTTACCACTTGCGACTGTGTCGTTCAAGGTGAGAGCCCCTGTCGCTTCGGTGATGCCATAAAGCTGAGAAAAAACACCAATGTACTCAGTCCGGCAGAGTGAAAGCCTCACCTGAAAGAAAAATGCGTTTGGAAGTAAATGACTTAGAGTAAGCACCAGTTCCTCTCCCAGTGGGGCTGCACCACATAAAATAGCTCGCAAGGATGTAAGGTCGTGCATCGTAGTGGTCTTGAGAAAAAGAGAGCGTTAAAACACTGGAGTTCTTAAAGTGTGGGCTTAACCTTTTGCAAAAACTTCGCGAGAGTGATGATCACCGGAGGAACGACATAGATGTGCGAGATCCGGTAGCTTTCGACCGCCGATAGCATCGTACGCAGCTCAAAGCCCGGAAGGATCACTAGCCGGTTCCCAAGGTAGAGCTGCTTCAAAGTCACCGCTACCAGTCCAAAGATGTGTGACATCGGCAAGGCGCAAAGAGGTACGTCGTATGAAAGTTTTCGTCCGGCAAGAGCACTCTCATATAATTCTTCGCGAGCAAGCTGCAAGATTTGCGCGACGACGTTGGCGTGAGACAGCACCACTGCCTTGCTCATCCCGGTCGTTCCCGACGAGTACAATATAGCTGCTGGATCGTCTCTGTGAATTCGTGGCTGGACAGTCGAGGAAGCTCGTACTTTCGCTGCCTTTCCGGGATCTTCTGCTAGAGAAAACGATCCATCGTCATCCATGACTATAGTTTCCAGGCCCAGTCCTCTTGTCTTGAACAAGAGCTCGCTAGTCGTGATCACCATCTTTGCGTTTGCAAGCCTTGCTTGGAACTCGACGTCTTTAGCAGATCCCATTGGACTGGGAGTAGCAACCACAGCTCCAATCCTGGCAATGGCCATCACTGCGAGCGGATAGTATATCGAGTTTGGAGCCAGTAGCATCACAACATCCCCCTGCTCGATCCCCAAGTGATGGAGACAAGTTCCCAGAGATACTGTTTCTTCCATGACTTGATCAAATGTAAGCTCTCGTCCCGTGACTCCATCCACCAGCGCGACATTCTTGGCCGGATTTAAGATGTTTTTCGATGAAACGAATGTTGCAAAGTCCAGCAGCTCGCCCTCCGGAAACACGATATCACAGCGGTCACTGGCGTAGATCCCAGACTGGCGATCGTAAGCTGCGCTGGTGACTTTTCTTTTACTCGTGACGGCCATGCTACTGAACACCAGATAGCTCTTCCTCTGGCTTTGATGGCCCTTAAAGAGCATGGAGGTCTGGAGAGCGCACGAAGTAGCAGCCATTAATCCGCTGAGAAGTACATATCTTCGTATCTGATATACAAGGAGGGCGGTCTCTACAAAGAAGCTTTAGTGTCAGGAGGGAAAAATCCAGTGCAATACTTAACTAGATTTTACCAGCGAAAATTCTTCCATTCCCGACGTCTGTGATCTTGTCTTTCCTCCGCCTGTGAAGAACAGCAGCTCTCGGCGGCACAATCTTCGCTCTCGCTCGCAGTTTCCCATTCGGATTCCTCCTGGCCCTCAGCGGCAGATAGATCGTCTTCCACTTCGCTGCTCGAGCGAATATCACCACCACCTTCTCGTTCGTCACCTTCGCATTGCACTCCTCCATGCTTCGCAGCAGCCTCGTTAAACAGCCATATCGCCTGCATCTGCTTCTTGATCAGCTGATCCACGTATCTGGGAACTTTGCTGTTTCCCTTGCCCTCAGATTCGCCAAAAGACTCGTTGACGAATAAAATGGCGTCCAAAAGGCTCTCCTTGGCCAGTCCCAGGCAGTCGTAAGCCTGTGATCTTCTCCACAGGCTCTTTCCATGTCGGTTGACGGGGTTGTGAATGCACAGCGCTCGGGTAGTGTCGCTGATCGCAGCCTCGGGATTCTGGAGAAGTAGCTGGCACTGAGCTCTGTTGCTATGAAGTGTGACTCTTTCCTTCTTAGCCTTGATCGGACAAAGTGCTAGAGCCTCGGTGTACTTCGTTGCGGCTCCTTGAATGTCACCAGCTGAAAAGTAGGCGTTCCCCTCCAGCTTGCTCACGAGAGCTGCTGCGAGCCTGATTTGCACGTCCTCTTTCGGTAAATTCTTCTCCATTCTTACTCGATCGTGAAAGGCCTCCAGCTGCTTTATCAAAGATCTTGTTCGCGGTTGGAATTTCTTGGAAAGGTCGACTTCGTTCTTAAACACTAGGTTCTGCACGAGTAAATTTCCAAGCCTCTTGTATTCCCCTATGGTTGGTAGTTCTGCCAAATCAATAAGTGCAAGAAGTGCTTTGTCGAGAACCTGGCAAAAACAAAATTTTAAAAAAAAATCAGATTGAAACGAACTTCCAGGACTTGCCTTGGACCTAGTGTCAACGTCTTGGATCAACCACACAAGACAATCCACCGCCATGTGTTGCCAGTCATCCGACGAGCGAGAGACGTTGCATAGAGTTTCAATCACCGCATCACACTCCGCAACAGCCTGCTTACCCAGCCTTCGATGGCATAAAGTTCTTATCAGCCCGACACCAGCGGGCGAGTTCTCGTTCGCAAGGCCTCCCCACGTACCAGAAAGCTTGATCAGATACTCCGGTTGACAGATGGTCGACAAGAACTCATCCTTGAACGCAAAGCAGTTGATGAGTTGCAATGACCAGCACTGAAGCTGGCTCGCCCAGGCCTCGGCATTTCTCGACTCAACCTCCAAGCCTCCAACTCCTCTGGTAAGAAGGTCGCAGTGGTAAGCCAGCCTCTTGTCCACGAACTGGAGGAAATGCGTGTAGACAATCTCCGGAGCATCGACTGATAGTTGCATAGAGAGGTCCAGAATCTCACCATAAGCTGCAATGTAAGGAAAGGTAACGTCGTAGCTAGCCAGGTGACCAAGAGCACGCACCGCCACCCTCTGTTCCACCCAAGTCATCCTCCCTCGAAGAAGCTCCAGAAGCGCTGGAATCACTCCCGCCGAGACTGCTCTCTCGGCAAAGTCCTCCACCACCATGGTATACGAGCCGATGATGTGAGCTGCGTAGTAAGGAATAAAGATGTTTTGGTCGTGCGCCAGCCATCGCCTGTTGGTGAGGCCTTTCCAGATCAATGCGGCCATGCATTCGAAGACCCCGAGATCGACGAACTCGGCATTGCTTGGCTGTGCCATGGCGCTGTTCCACAAGCCGCTGATCGGGATAACCTGTCCATCGTCGTCTTCACCGGGGAGATCCTTGAAGAACTTTGCAATGCTGGGGCGGCGCTTGGATGGATTTACGTCTCGCATGAGGCAGAAAAAGCATCCGGGGTATGGACAATCGGAATCGCTCTTGTCCATCCTTGCGCCTATAAAATCCTATATAAGTAGCTCCATCAGACCTGGAGAAGGAAGAAAAACAAAGTTTGATCACCCGATCCTTGCTGAGAAGTGAAAGTAAATCGAATGGGAGTACCTTTTGGATCACAAGCTTGGGCAAATCGGCATCGCTAAGTCAACAGCTCCACTAAATGCTATCGCCGCCATCACTCGTGCCGTCCGGCAGCATTGACCTCTTGGGGGAAAGTATTGGAAGGAGTGAGAAGATCACAGCAGGGAGTGGACTTTTTGACAGAAATATCTGGCGCTCCTCACCTCGATCGCTGCGCAGGGATCAAGAACACTGGATCTTGCGAGGCGCGGCAGCTGAATGCTGATGCCAGGCTGAGAATCACCGCAATGCCGCTACGGCGCCAGGCAGCAACGAGCGGGCGATCGATGGATCGTCCGGGCGCCTTGCGCGCGAGTGACCTAGGGTAGACTGGTACCTGCGTGGCCGCATTCAATACTACTCTACTACCACGGTTGTTTCAGTGGATTTCTATATGCAGAGAATATTCTTTACCATGATCAGGAATATTCTAGCTTTTGCTTTTAAATTTTTTTCAGCTCGCGTGCTCAACGTCATGGACCGTCGCATTTGGACGGATTTTGTTATGACATTGACGGGCCTATAGCCATGACATCGACGTGTAAAGCTCTATTTCGACGTGGACAGCTGGACTATAAAGGTTAAAAGCTAAACGAGAAAAAGCTTACTGCCAGATAAGCTGCTGACTAGTGCCAGCGTGGCAAAAACTTGATGACATGTCATGAAAACAAAATTCGTGGTGCCACCTAAGCAACCGGCGGCACAGCCACTCTTCCAGCCACTTGATCCAAGTCTCTTCGTCCCTGGGAGGTGATTCTCCGCCCACTGCGAAGAACACACAGAAAATCAATCCCCCAAGTTTTCTTTCGATCGATCGAGAGAGATTTTCTCTTCGCTTACCCCTTGGGTTCCTTCTCAATGATGTCGATCTTCTCAAGCTGCTTTAGGACGTGCCTGGCGATGGCACCGCTGCTCTTGCAGAAATGCGAAGGCCGGGCACCATTCCTCTTGCTGCCGCCATAGATCTTCTTGAAAGCCCCGACGCCAATGCCGCCGCGGAGGTAAATCTTCCTCGCCATGGACGCTGTGATTCAACCCAAATCACGAATCAATCAATCACTCGATCAAAGCATTCTCTCTGTAAATCTCACCAGCGCGCACGTAGAACCAGTCCGGATCGTAGGGAGCGAGCTCCTTGGCGACAGAGGTCTTGACAATGTCAGTCCAGGGCGGAAGCTCGACCTGAATTGGAGCAAGACAGTAATTTCCATCAATCGAGTCGCGAGCGCAGCCATACCTTGCCAGATCTCTTGAGATGCGCAGCGTAGGCGCGGACGAACTCGTGCGAGGAGACATCCTTCACCGTCTTGGATGTAGCCGCCATCGCGCTCTCAAGCCCTAAGCCCTAACCCTAAACCCCAAAAAGTAGATTCCTCTCGTATATACCGAAGGCTTTATATATTAAGCTTTCTGAACGAATATTTGTAGGCATATTCACAGAAATATTCAAACGAATATTCGAAATTTAAAAACTTCTGAAGGGGAAAACGTTTTGCTCTTGCGATTCAGTCGGAACAAAAATCTCTCTTCTTTTCTTCGTTTCTTGCCAAATCACGAGGACAGCTTTCTCGGATAACAATCATCAAAGAAGGAGCCCTTATCGACGAGCTGTGCGAGCGCACTTCTCATCTTCTCCAGCGAGATTGGCTTGAAGATGACACCGTCCATGCCGATGCTGGAGCACCGCTCGCTCGTTTGCCGGTCGTGAGCCGCGGTGAGCGCTACCACCAGCGGCCTCTCGTGCCGCTTAAACATGTCCTGGATCTTCACAGCCACCTCGAATCCGTCCGACTCCGCCATATATACATCTACCAGAACTAATCTAAAGCTTCTACCTGGTTGCGCCAGCAGCTGGAGGCACTCCCGAGGAGATCCCACCGCAAAAGCATCGCACCCCAGTCGTAGCAAAAGACCCCTCGTCACCATCCTGTTTGCTCTGTAGCGACGAAAAGGAAAACAACAGAGTTTTAGAGTTTCTTCTTCTTGCTTTCGATCGATCGAAAGAGCAAATCTCTTTCGACCGATCGGAAGAAAAGAAAGCGCAAACTTGACGTACCCGTTGGCATCCATCACCAGGACTCTGAGACCGGTGACGCTTGTTCTTGGAGACGAGGAGGGTGGTACTTGCTGGAGAGCGTACGAGACCTGATCCACTGCGTCTGGGATCGCAAGCCTGACAACGTAGGAAACTGTACAGCCGCGATTTAGTCCCTCGCTTTCGAACCATATGTTCCCGTCCATCAAGCTCACGAGGCTGAAGAACAACGATCCTCGTCTTAGATGAAGATCTAGCAATACAAAAGGAAGATGAATCTAGTACCGTTTGGAGATGGCAAGGCCGAGTCCTGTGCCAACTTGCTTTCTCGATGACACTGCCGGCGCTTGGATAAACTTGTTAAAGAGTTTGGGAATGTCTTGTGGATTGACTCCAATGCCTGTGTCTTGGACCTGGAAAACGGAGCAAGCAAAACTTAGATTATGGAAGGAGAGAAAAAACAAAGCGAAAGCTACCTGTACTCTTATGTAGCAGTGTTTTTCACTCGGGACAACGTAATCGGAAGCCTGAAATGACTCAGGTTTTTCCAAACGTACTGTGATGGAGACGCTCCCCTCCTTTGTGAACTTGACAGCATTGCCAACAATGTTTAAAGCGATTTGCACGAACCTCTTGTCGTCCCCGCAAACAAACTCCGGAAGCTCTGATCCCAGGCAGAGCGAGATTGCCAGCTTTCGCAGCGAAGCCACAGGCTTCACCAAGTTTAGCACCTGCAACAACTTCAAAGTCTTAGATCGAGACTTCCTTAAAAAGATCTTCGTACACACCTCTCGAAAAGTCGCAGGCAAGTTGAAGGTACGTTTCTCCAGCTCCAAGCTGCCGTCCTCGAGCCTTGAAACGTCCAGGACATCATTGATGAGCGTTGCCAGTAAGTTGCTGCTGTTGAGAATGGTGTCCACCATCGCTCGCTGCTCCTGGCTCAAGCTCGTATCTTGCAGATGCGACGACGCAGCAATGATCGTCGACATGGGAGTCCGCATCTCCCGATCCATGACTGCCAAAAAGTCGTTCCTCGATCGCAAAGCCATCTCGGCCTCCCGCTTGGACGCGTCCAGCTTCACATTCTGAGCGATGAGAGTGTCCCTCTGCCTGATCGATTCCTCGAGTATAGCCGCGTGAGAGAGAGCCACGGCCACCTAGAAGAAACCATTGTAAGAAACGAAGCAAAAAATCGGTTTTTCTTCTCGTACCTGGCCAGCCACAGCTTCGACGAGCTCGAGCTCGTGTAAGTGCCAAGTCCGAGCACTGTCCGAGGGAAGCATGAGCACCAAAAGCGCGTAGGGAACGTCGCCACCTTCCGGCCAGTAGCTGATGTTAAAGTTTTCGACGTGTAGAAGCGGTACTCTGACGGCCACTACCTCTCCCGGGAGATACTTCCCAGCTCTCGGTCTGATAGCAGCCACCGGACTCGTCGCTGGGATGTTCCTCGCTCGGTGCGTGCAAAAGACCGGCTGGATCGAGGGGTGATGCACAGGAACCGTAACTCGTCCGGGATTTGTACTGCCGAGCGTCCGGCAGAGATGAAGTTCTAGGCCATCCCTTGATGGCATCCAAAGAGCGCATTCTTCCAAGGCTAGAGCTTTCCCGAGCTCCACCAGAGTGGTGTTTAAGATGGTGTCTCGGACGAGCGTGAAACGGATCTCGTGAGTGAGCATCCGGACGTGCTGGACTGCCTCGGCCTGCGTCCGGATCAGTCCCATCTCTCGGTCGAGCTCGTCGGCCTTGTTCTTGAGAAAGAGCTCCCTGGTCTTGACGCTGAGGAGATCCGGGATGATGGTCACGAGTGTCACTGCCGTGGCACACGAAACGATGGCCGTGAGGATCTTGGACATGATCATGATAAAAGCCACGGTTCGCGAGTGAGAGGTCATAGTGAGCATGTTGATAGCGTGAGTGGAGCCGCAGAGAACGATGAAGGCCCCGAACTGGACGAGCACCCACTTGTATGGAAAGACTGCCGATTTCTTGACGAAGTAGATGAGCTCGCAGGGAATGGAGAAGTAGGCCAAGGCGATGAAGAAGTCCGACACATACTGCGACTTTGTGTAGATGTCCTCCGGCAGCCACGGCCAGAGCGAGTCCATACAATTGCAATCCATATCCATGATCCAGGAGCTGAGGTGAGTGTTGTCGATGCTCAAGGCGTGATTTTTCCACCAGAAAAACGCGATTTTGCTCACACCATGGAGAAGATCCTGCACACCACCGAGAGGACCATCTCCGTGAGAAGAGTTTTCTCAAGGGGCTTCTAGCTGGAATGGCTTGTAGACTAGTAAATGATCCTGAATCTAGCAAGTCTAGGCGCAAAACCGAAGCTTACCCGGATGTGTGGGATGCTATCGGGACAGCCTGAGCTTCCACCTGAGCTTGGGCCAATTCCAGCAGCTCTTGCCCGCCTTGGGAGTCCCGACCATCAACTTCTCCATCGAATCCAGCGGCACCAGAGAGAACAGCTTCGCTGCCGCTGGCCCCAAAACGCTTCCTTCCCCGGACAAGCGGAGGCTCTGAAACGCTCCCGGAGGAAAGAGTAAGAAACTCGCCCCTTCCCTTGTTCCTGCTCTCGTCGCGGGCCAGCAGCAGCAGCAGCAATGGTAGCAGCAGCGCCGACAGATTGAGCAAACTTCCCTTGAGATCCGAGCAGAAAAATGGCTCTTTTCTGAGCCGGAGTGCGTTGTAGGCGTCGTAGCAGTGCTGCTGTGTGAGCAGTCGAATGCTGGAGAAGATGACCACTGTGTGGATGCATATAGTCATGGAATGAATACTACTAGTTGCCTTCTCCTGTTCATCCCCCCTGGATCAGCGTCAAAGCAAAACCCTGCTACTTATTGTTTTTGCGAGAGTGCGTGTAAACGCTTTTTCCAACCATTTTTTTCCAGCCCTGTAGGTAGATTAAATAAACACTACCCATCAGCAAAGCGATCAGGCAAAATGACTATAGGTAGAAAAACGACCATCGTAAATCTTAACTCAAGGAGAAAAACTTATCCTACCTCCTGCCACTTGCAAGTTTGCTTTCGCTTCCATTCCGCGTCGCCGGTTCGTAGCAAATTGCAACTCCAACTCTCGAGATGCCTGTGAAATCAACATTCCAAGTTGCGTAAAACAATGCTAAACCTGACAAAACAGGAATCCTAGATCGCCAGTAAGAACCATAGCAAGAACAGAAACAAAGAAAAAAAAATGGATGACAAGAACAACTTGCTTAATTCACTCACGCAAGCAACCAAGCAATCAGTCGATCGAGAGTGCGAAAAAGAGAGGAACAGACCAAGGGATCAAATTGCTACGGTCTTGGTTGCAACGAGGAGGTGCCGCAATCACTCAAAGGCGCGTGTCCCCAAGCATGCCTTTTCTATTCTTTTCTCTTTTCCTCTCGCGTTGCTCTACACAAGCAACTTTGTCCGTTGGCCTATTGTCAACCAGTTTGTCAGCCACCTTGTATGCAAGATATATTCCACGATGAGAAGCACAGACAAAAAAAAAAGAGCAATAAAAAGCTTACCCCGCACCGGTTTCCTGACGAGATTCAAGGCACTGTGATTCATTTCGGTGAACTAGAAAACGATTTAGATGAAATCAATGACGACGGACCAGCTAGCAGGACCGATTCGATTACTAAACAATGGAAACAATGAATCCAGAGGGGCTTAACTTACGAGTTTTCTGGGTATCGGGATTATCTCTCACATGGCAAGCAGGTTGGTACAACGAAAACAGTGCCTGCAACGAGAACGAAACAAAAGGGAAAAAAAATGTTAACTTTGATCCATCAGTCTCGAAGAAGGCCAAAAAAGAGAGAGAGAGAGAGAAATTGATCTAAGCTTGGCTTACCAGTACATGGTACGAAGTGCGAATCGAGATGATCTCATTCCACTTCCTGTAGCTTTTGGCATGGTATAAAGAATTGGGAATCTTTGCGCTTTGGAAATGGCCAAAACAAAGATCTGATTTGTGCAAGGCATTCAAATCGACCGTGTGAGTGATGGATGGATCAAGAAACGATTAAAGAATGCAGCACACAAACCTTGTTCCTTGATGCGCAGCATAAAAAACTGGAAACCAGTGCATCCCCTTTGGCCGCGTATCGCACTTCCTGTTCAGTCATTGCGACTGCCAAAAGCCCTATCCTAAGAACCCTAAAATTTAAATTTCTGGGGTCCTCATTTTATGTCTTGGATTGGCGGGGAGATTAAGTTTTTTCTTCCTTTGTTTTCCAGCGAGTTCGCGGAAGCCATCGAAAAATCTTCCAAGGATTACTGTTTGAGAATGCTCGCCTTTTGGTTTATTGCAGCGATCCTATTCGCTAACGCTGCGATCAAACTTCTATCCAGATGATGAAAAGCGTCCTTGATGCTCACACTTTGGGCGAGAGTTTTTGTGGATCGCAAGCATGAGGTCAGTGAAAGGGTTTCTTACTTCCTTGTTCTAATCTTGTCTTTCTTTTTTTTTCGTTTTGGTCACGCTCGAGAATGAATGATCCAACAGGGGGAATTTTCTAGAGAGGATCTTTCAGTAGAACAGCGCTGCAAGCATGACGAAGTCGAGCTGGTCCAGCGGAAAAGGAGCGAACACTGTTTTGGTAAATTTTCTCACTGTTAGATCTTGTGCTACTGCTAATCAAACGTCGCAAAGTTTCCACAGAAAATCTGTCAAATCTGGACGACGTAGAGAGGCGATATGAGAAGAAAAATGGGAGCGTATCACGAGACGCTACATGTATGGAGATTTACTCTCGCGTCTGCTGCTCTGACTCGTCTTTTTTTTTTTTTTTTCCTTTGTTTTCTTTCTTGTCCTTGCTTTGCTCATGTTCTATTCCTATGCAGGACAGGACAATCTATGTTCTTGCCTTTCAACTGTCGAATGCTCTGCTTGTGATCTTTGTTTTCTTGTGATGCTGGGTTTCCATTTCTGACTTTTGAAAGCACACCAGGCTGGAATGAACGATGCCAGGAGTGAAGTTGTAGAAGTTTCGACAAAGAAATCACGGCTCGCAAAGGTACGTGGATCGAAGTTTTGCAATAGAAGGACAATTGGAGTTTTGGAAGGTTGATCAAAAAAGATATGCTACTTTGAGAGGATCGAGTTTATGTGTCACCCGCATTTGCATCATAATAGTCTATTCGTTCCTTTTTTGTCAGCTAAAGGACTATCCATCCAAGTCAGCGGCTGGCCATGCGAGATCGACGCTATTCCTTACGGGACAAGAGGTTACGTTTGATCAAGTCATGGAAGAAACAGTAACTCTAGCAAGTCGTTGGCGGGCAAGGGGATGTTGTGATGCTACTGGCTCCAAACTCGATATACTATCCGCTCGCAGTGATGGTCATTGCCAGGATTGGAGCTGTAGCTGCAACTCCCAGTGATCTGCTAAAGACGTCGAGTTTCCAAGCCAGGCTTCCAAACGCGAATATGACTAGCGAGCTCTTAGTACCTCCTGGAAACTATAGTTGGGGACGAGGATGGATCGTTTTTTCTAGCAGAAAATCCCGGAAAGCCAGTGAAAGTACGAGCTGTGCGAATTCACAGAGAATCCAGCAGCTATCCTATACTCGTGTTTGCTCGCGGAGAATTATATGGCAGTGCTCTTCCCGGGCATACAACGTTGCTCTGCATCTTCTCCGGGCTGGTAACAGTGACTTTGAAGCAGCTCTACCTTGGGAACCGGTTCGGTTGTGAGCTGCGTACAATGCTAGCGGGGGGCGAAAGCTCTACCGAATCTCGCACATCGCGAAGTTCTTGCAAAAGGTAGCCCACATTTTCTAAAACCTCCAGTGTTCTAACGCTCTCTCTTTTATCTTCTCGAGACCACTACGTACGAAGCTACATCCTTTTAAGTCACTTCCGTTCAAATACTTCTTTCTTTCAGGTGTGGCTTTCTTCTGCCGGACTGAGTAAAATGTTTTTTTCTCAGCTGAGCTTCACAGCTTCAGTTGGAACTCTGTTCTCCATTGTGGAAGCCAAAGTTCCCAACGTGCCTTCGAGGACGGCACACTGTTGGCAGGAGGACGCTCTTCAACAACAATGCTCGACATGAACATATCTACAAGGAACCTTTTATTTTCTAATGTATGGTGTTTATACAGGCTACGCCTCGGGTGATCTTGTTTTACTTTGACGGAAACTTGTTCGTGGTGAACAGGATCAAAGAGCTCATCTCCCTTCAGGCCTCCAAGATCCTCTGTACTGTTCTTGGATGCTGCCGTGGTAGCGTAAGTTTTGATCAGGGGAGGTAGGACGACGATTCCAAAGACGTCGCCAGGGATTTTTTTGCATCATCCATCCCGCCGGATTTTTACACGCACCAAGCGAGGAACATCCCGGCGACGCTGCTATCAGGCTGAGAGCTGGCCAAGTATCTCTCCGAGGCCGGAAGTTGACGACGTCTCTTTGGACAGTTCTCGGACTTGGCACTTACACGAGCTCGAGGCATTGGAAGAAGAAGATTTCTTGTTTCATCCAATGGTTTTTCTTCTCGCATCATAAGGTGGCTGGCTCTCTTGCACGCGCCTATACTCGAGGAATCGGAGGAACTAGTTCATGATCGGAGATGCGACTATCATTGTTGCATCAGTCGCCAAGATCCGTACGCAACAAGCGGTATTCTCAACAGCAGCAATTTACTGGGAACGCTCATCAATGATGCACGAGAGAAACGTTCCTTCAACTCGCCAGCAACGCAAGGGGTGGTGGAGGAATCTCGGACTTGATGCCCGAGCTTGTATCGAGGAATCGTTGGCAGGCTTCCATTCTCGGGTGTCCTCAGCTCCAGATGCGTGTGCCGGGCGTGGAAAACGAGCCCAGCTTCCGGACCTCCTACATGGACAGCACTAGGTTCTTCCCTCATAAGGATTGTATCCAGGACAGCAGTGGCAAGGTGATGCACTGGGATCCTTGCAGTGACACAGTGTGCCGTCTCCCAAGACAAGCGCCTCGTGCTCGCTTGCTCCTGGTGTCTCTGCTCTGTCAACCGCACCCAGTGCTCATACAAAACAAACTGGCTTGTATGGATTCAACGTTTAGCAGGTTTGTTCAGTTTGATGTGGCAACCAACACGATCACGTACAAGAATCTCGGGATCACGCTATACAATAAGCTTGGGCTGTCGTGTACGGTAAGTCTGGCTAGCTGGAGGGGAAAGCTCTACATAGTGTGGCTAAGGCAGGTGTTTGGTCAGAATGAAAGAGGTTTGTGCTGAGTCGAGTGATGAGAGTAGAGTATTTGAAAGGATTACATCCCAAGTTTGGTGGTCAAGCTGATAACTACTTGAATTTTTATTATTATTATGGATGTAATACTCCTGATAAGCAGTTTGTGGACGTTCTGGAAAGTTGGGATGAGTTGGATGTTGTTGTGCTTCTGGCCAGTGCCCTCTCATTCCTCAAAGGATTGCAAAAGATGGATCCAATCCCAGATGGAAGATGAGGAGATTGTCCCAGAAATAATAGAATACAGGCACACCAAATCCTTGTCAATGGACCTTCTCATCACAACAAAGATTATGTAATTTACTATTTGGATCGTGCAAAGGTGTAAGGTGTATAAAGAGCTTCTAGGAGCTGCTAAAAGAAAGTGACAAGGTCCTGCTACTTTGGGTGGACGAGGCTGCTGAACTAAGTTCTCTAACTTTTGCGCATGCTCAATTATGTGTCTACAGCAATGTGCTTTTTCAGCATTGTTATTGGGACAGACAAAAGAGTGGCAGAATTTATGGCCAAAGCTCGCGAGCAAGGCTGTTAAGCAGCGTGAACAAGCTGTGGGAAGAGCGACGTGCATGCAGGCAGTGAAACGAGCCCGAAACGAGTGCTGCAACACGGACGGCCTCTCTGGGATGCCTATATGACTCGTGTTGAGACGGAGAACAAGGTCATGGCCACGGCTAATCTAAGAAGCTCATTGAAAAGGATGTCACTTTTCCAAGGTGGGTTGCTGTAGAAGTTGCGGTTGCCGTATTTGCATGCCTCATTGGGGACACTCCCACAGCAACTAACTGCTTGTACACTGCTAGTGCTGTAAAGCCTGCTCTTGCTGTTGTAGGTGGTGAGTTGCTTCACTACAACGAGGATATATCCAAGCTGATAGAGGTTTGTGTGGATGGGCTGGTGCTGGAAGGTGTTCGTGGAGAGATGGCAGACTTGTCATGCTCTTCAGCAGTACGTCAAACCTGTCAGCTTGCACCAGTATCTGGAAACTTTGTTTGGTAAAGTGGCCATGGAGGAGCTGATGCAGTGCTGCGGCGATTTTTTAGGCAGCATTGTCTTCTTTAATTGTTTCATTCCCCCTTCAAACAAACTATATAGTAAGTATTACAAGAGGTAGGAGAAATGAGAGCATTCTGATCATTCCAGTTAAAACCTCTGAACAGGAACCCAGTCTGGTCTTTGAGTTTGAGCAGGAGCCCAATAAAACCCGTTGGACTGGGTATAACTCAACCATTTTCTGGTTTTTTTTTTTTTTTCCTTTTTTTCTTTTGCAGTATGTGGCCATTCCACCAAGGAAAGTAAGTTGGACGAGGAAAGATTGGATCAACAACTCAGCATGTCTTTTCAAGCTGGAGCAACTGAGTGGTACAACTTTACCAAAGTTCAGAAGGTGACGGATGTGCTATATTCAAAGATCTACCTTAACCAATAAATAATTTTTTTCATAAGGTTCTTTGCTAGGGTACAATGTCGGGCTTGATGCCAGAGCTTGTGGGAGATATCCTTCGCAGGCTTCCAATTTCGAGTGTCCTCGCCTCCATATGCGTGTGCCGCGCGTGGAAAGCAGCGGTGGATGACCCCAGCTTCCAGAGCTCCTACACAGACAGCGCTAGGTTATTCCCCGAGAATAATTATATTCAGGACAGCAGTGGCAAGATGATGTGCTGGGAGCCTCGCAGTGACAACGCTCCCGACTGGCTGTGTGCCGCCTCCCAAGGCAACAAGCACCTTGTGCTGGCTCGCTCCACAAAAGTTAGAAAACTCTACGTTGGGAATCCCTTCTTCAACAGGTGGGATACTTGGAAATTTGGGACGTGTCCAGGGTGTTCCTCTTGGCCACTGCCGGGCAGCAGTTCAAGATTGTGGTGTGGTTCTGGGATGGCACCATCCACACCTTCAGTCGTGGCCAGACGC